CCAGTATAATTCGTAGGTCTGATAGTTTCATCCATTCTCAAAGAACCCATAAGTTCAGTGGTTATCCACCTTTGAATTCTACTATTGCTAAAATTCCCAAATACTAGATGCCAAAAACAATGTATGATTCATTCATTGAAGGACCTTTCTTCTTATTGGTTCTAGTCGATGTGCTATTTATTTCATCTATTGCACTTGTGAGATATTTTGGCTCATTGAGTTCATAAATTGTCTACCCACAAACCTAATGGATAAAACATCACATTTTTACCCATACCCAATTCAGAAACTGAACACGAGTTCTTTCTAAAACTTGGCACGTAAAGACAATTACTCATAAATAAAAATTTCTATAGAAAACTCATTCTGAGATATTTTGGTTCCTTTGAGTTTATAAATTGTCCATCCTTGTACCAAATAGATAAAACATTTCGCTTTTCAAAACAACAAATGTAACCTCCATATACAATTTAGAAACTAAACGTGAGTTCTTTCTAAGACTTGGCACATAAAGACAATTACTCATAAACCAAAATTTCTATAGACAACTCCCACTACAATAGTCGCCACTTTCATAGCAAAACCCATTCTAGATGGTAATCTACCTATCACATGTCGATTGGTTTCTTGGAATCTTTTTACATAATTAGTGGTTATGTATCTATTCACCAAGTACTGATAGATAACACCATTAAAAATGTTTCGACTTTCTAGCGAATTAAGATTTCCCTTCTTGTCTTAAGAATAAGACAGTTCATCTTCCTATGTCCATTTTGCTTATACCGGATACACTTGCCTTTCGGCTTGTACTCCTCATCAAAATAAGACACTATCCAAGTTCTATTTCTAATCATATTTGAACAAGTAAATTATCTTTGAGAATTACGGACAACAGAATAAAAGACATTTGAATTCCTAGGATCATGCAAACATAGTCTTTACTCAACTCAATCAAGTGTTTTTAAATTTAACATCAAATATTGATCCCAAAAACAATATTCAAATAAATTCACCGACACCTCAACACACCGAATCCCTACAGGCCACGTAGTTAGACGTCTACGGTTCAAGCAATCGCAAGAGGAGGGATTAATCCCATTAATTAACATACCGTCCAAACAGTACTTAATTAATAGTCAGTTCATCTTTTGGACAGTGCACTGAGTCAATGTGTCCCTCGTTCTTTATCATTAGAAGGAACTTATTGAAATAAAAACAACATTTTCCTTTGGGAATATCGTAATTATTTGCACTTTAAGTGTAACCCATTAATTGGTACTAAGTTTACTACCAAAATTATACGTCCACCTTTGGGTGACCCATACGCTTTTGAAATAGCTCGCTACTACCATCCCGAAGGAGATCTGTCCTTGTGAACTGTGAAATAAAACGTCCTTTGAGCTCGATTTAAATCACTTCACTAACAAACGCACAATTGAGGCCTTGGATGTAATTTATTTCAACCCATTACACACTTAATATAATTTTTATTTTAAGGGATTTGCTAAATCATGCCTCTAACAATTTAACTTGCACATAGAGCAATTAAATCACATAAGAACATGTATGATTAACAGGCAATAATAAACTAGGAACTATAATCCAACTATCATGGCCATTAATCAATATCCAATATTCCGAAGTAACACAATCCTGTCCTTTGATGAATGTGTCTTCCGTTTCATGAGACAAAAGATCTTCTTTCTAAAGAGCCCCTTTCGCAGTGACTCCCACTCTTCATTCTGAATAGGTCGTCTCCAGGAAAGTCACCATCGGTTCGTCACCATGGCTTCCGTCTGGGTGTTTATCGCCTCGCCCCGTTGAGGTTGGTCCACGTCCACCGGATCAACAATGAATAATATAAAACAACAATTACATAATTCATCCTATGACCCGCGCAGGAGTCGTACATGAGTTTTCTATAAAAGCAATAAACTATGCGGTGTCCCACCGCGCGAATAATTTATTACAAACATTCACCAACCCAAAAACTCCTCGACATATCCGAGTCTTATAAAACAACATACATGAATTAAAAGCACACATGCATACGGGCCATAATTGTAACGCCCCACTTTGATTTTAAAGAAATTCCAAACTTTCCAAAAATCAGTAAAACATTTTTCGAAATCATTTTCGAAAGCATGGACATTATTCACAACACTTATAAAGTCCAAGTCTTATTTGGACCCACGGGGATTCATAAACCCGGTTTTCATAAAGTTTTCATTAACCAATTCCCAACATAACTCACAAGATATTCAGCATGAATAATCAAAACATATTATTCAAATAAACCACGAGTCAAGAATATCCAAAATCACCAATCCCAAAAACATGTAATGAAAAACAATTTCAACATGTTTCATAATTCCTGAATTCATACAGACTGCGAAAGCAAAAGTAAATAACTAATGACCACCCACTCGTCTTGCTTCGTCATCCGTCACTTGCTTAACCTGCATCCGTGAAGAGCAGGTGGGAATGAGTAGAGTTGGAAAATATAGTGCTCACACTATGCATATGAACAATATAAAATATGTTAGGATGGTATGGTCGCAGCATGAACATAAACAATAACAACATCATGTCTAATCTCCTATACAATATCACACCAATTAACATTACTCCTGTGCACATCTATCGCTAGCCGCAGAACGGGGATTCATTACCCGAAGGCGGGAGTACGTGCCACTGTAACGGACACGACCTTCCATATGGGCTTACGTGCCTCACAAGGGCACGGTCATATCAGGACTTAAGGAGATTGCCACACAAGGGCACCGTACCATAACTCGAAGGGGACAATCGTACCGACGGCCGTAACAGCTCACATCGATAGGCTACATGTTCGCATGCATACATAGATCATACCAATTTCAATACATTTAAAACACACATGCATAGACATTTTAGAATAACTAACCCACCTGATTAGTCGAGATAGACAGATACACAACGATCAGCAGAAGGTTGTAGGCAGAGGGCTGGACTCCTCGTTAATCTACAGTTAATAATTTTTATCTTATTATTATTATGAACGGACAAGCCAACAGGTAGAGACAGGCAAGAACAAGCAAGAACAATTAAACATAGGCAGATAAACACACAGTGCAGACGATTAAAACAAATAAAATTCCCTGCTGAAACTTTAGTCTCTAAAACGCAGTAATTACACAAAGCACAAGGCTCATTATTACTCATGGAAACAAATTTCATTGGTTCAGCAACTCGGAACATAAAAGAGGCCCAATGCATTTCAGCATGCTTCCAAATTTTCATAAATTCAAACCAAGCATGATCAGGCCAAACTTACTGAACTTAATCTCAAAAATATATAACCAGTTTCAGTACATAAGATTCACATGCCAACAGGTTCAAGACGGCAATTATAAGTAAGGGAATTTACACATGTACATGCCATATTCCTCTAAAACCGAGATCTCTTGATTTTTGACACTAAGGCCCTACATAGCTGAACATGAACTCTGAAATTAAGCATATTTCAACACCTAAACACGTATGGTAAGGCTCAGAAATGCAAAGCAGTAAACATGGCAAAACACACATAATATGCCTCTCTATCTCTTTTCCTCTCAAAGCCTTAACCACATACTTTAAGCATGTTAAAACACATAATTTAGCAGCCCAAGATACATAAAAACAAGCATCAACCACTTATCCAAAACATGACCTAACACGCATTAACTTACTTCAAAATTATCCAATACATACAAGTTTAGTATACGCATAAAACTCATTCTTAAGCACACTCTGAGCATGGATCCCACACAATTTCAGCATAAGAACTAATAGTGTCATGCTCTGAAAAACATATTCAATATAACCGAGGCCAACACAAACATATCAACAAAGCCATAAAACCACAACTCAACATGCATCTCAACTGGTACTCAAGCAGGCTTATTCACTGGAGATTAAGCACAGAACATCGTCAACTCCCAACCAAAAACAGGTATATTAGAGGCTAAGCCAATTACCTCTCGTCCGAAGTAAAACGAGGAAAAAGGGTCGGGTCTCGTCCACACGATATGGGCTCTCGTTTCTGGGAAAAACGGGCCCAGTTCATTGCAGCCCAGACACCCACACGTCTTCAAAAGCAGCTCGACTGCCACTGTTCAAGCTCTCGGGCTGCTGCCGGGTAACCGGACGGGGAAGAACAGACTGTTCGGGGCTCGTGGCAACGGATCGACCCGCTTCTCTTCTCGCCCGGGGCCTGAAAGGGCTGCCGTTCGTCAGAAAAGCCCCCGTTGCTTGTCGTATAACAAGATCGGGGCTGCTGCTGCTCGGAAATGAAGCCGACGGGTCTCGGCACGTTACTGTTCATCGTTCGAGGTGGCTAAACGGGTTGTCGGCACGGGCCTGAAGGGCTGCCGCTGCTGTTTCGGGCTCCCCTCGCACTTGCGGGTTGCTCGAAAACAGACTGACAATGAGCTGCTGCGGATTCTTGCCTCGACGGACGGCTCGAAAGGGTTGTCGCTACTGTTCGGCCACTAAATGGAGGCCGACGGGGGTGCCGCTGCAAACGGGCGCGGGGCTGTGGAGGTTCGCCGGTCGCTGAAGGACCCGACTTCCGGCTTCGTGCTCTCTTCCCTGGCAGGACCGCCGACTGCTCGCGATTGAACCAGAATGGCCGCTGTGAGACGCCGGCGAGAAGAGGAGCTCGCGACGGGTCTGAACGGAGCTCGGTCGTCGAGAGCTCAAAATCGTCGGACAAAGGTCGGTGCTCGCGATCAGTCGCGGCCCGACGGAAATTGAGGCCCGAAGTCGCCAGAGGCTTGGCTGGTCGGACGTTGGTCGAGTCCACCGAAAACTCAACGTGGCCGATCACTCGTCGTCGGGGATCGCTGCGTGAACGGGCTGAAGCAGCTGCTCGCGTGTTGCGTCTGTCGGAGATGCTTTAGGGTCGGCGGTTTGCTGCTGCTCTGGAGTGCTCACGGCGGCATTGACGGGTGGTGATCACCGGGCAGATTTGGAGAATGAGGGCTATCGTAACAGATAAGAGAGATCGAGAAAGAAAAAATGAGGGTGAAGGGGATGACGGCGTTTTGAAAGAGAGAATGATAGGGTTGGGTCATTTGTCCTTCAAATAATGGGTTGAGTTTTTATCTTTAGTGTGTGCCCGGGCGATATCTATATCTATATCTATATATCTATATATTTATAAAGAGGTTGTTGGAAAAATACATTAATAGAAAGTTTGACCAAATAAATATAATGTTTGACTTATCATTAATGGAAAGTTTAAAAAAACACATGTGAATCTTTAATAACAAAATCTAAATCCTATTTTTTTGGTAACAAATTTGGAGATTTTTATGGCAAAATTTGAATCTCATTTTTTTCGTATCATATTTTATTTTTTTACCAAAATTTAAATCATATCTTTTTTGGTAACAAATTTGGAGATTCTTATGCAAAAAATGTGTCAATTATTTATGAAAATAATTCTAAATACAAATTAATTTAAAATCTGTGCAAATTGGATATAAATTTAGGAAGAAAATAGTTGTATAATTCTTAACCAATTCTTCCAATCTTATTGGATAATTTTTTCTATCAAAAAAATTGTGTAAATTGGATAAAGCCACGTGCAATTTTTATTTTAAAATAAAACTGATATTTGGACGGGGTGTACATTCAAAATTGTGTCCATATTTTTATGGTAACAAAAGCAGTTCATCATTGATATTTAAAGTCACCTTATCCAATTATTTAGGAAAAATTGTATGCAACTTTTCACAATTTAAGTGCATCGATGTTTTTGAATTCATATGTTTTTTCTTAATCATGTTTTATCGAGATTTTGGTAAGTTCATATCATTTTTTTTTTGGTTAAGTTCATATCATTTTCTTTAGGAAAGAGACAGTTGCATAAACATTAACAATTTATTTCATTTTTTTATTAGAATTATTTTCAATTCAATTTGTTTGATACAAAAATTGGTGCAATGTTAGAAAAATTTGGTTGCATTTTTAAGAAAAAATGATAATTTTTTTTATTTGGTTTAAAAAAAATTTTGATCAATTTGTTTGATAAAAAAATCGGTTTATTGGTAGGAAAATCGGTTTTATTTCTGGGAATAACTAATGATTCTTTTTAATTTTTCTTAATTGAAATTTAGAATTAGATTTAAAATAAATAATGGGTGAAGATCCCTAAAAAATTCTACTTTTTTTTCTACTTTAATTTTGTTCAGTAAATAAGATCCTTTATTTTTTAAAAAAATTGTTAACTAATAACTAATAATATGCAATTTTGGATAAATTTGAACACCTATGTAGTACTTTACGTGCCAAAGAATCAAATCAATAATGTTGTACATAAGGAAGTGTTTAATAACATATATAAATTTCATTTTTCATGAAATTTTTAATGGCCTGAGACAATTTAAATACAAAAAGACTTTTTAAAAATTATATAGGTAATCAATGCTCTCGTGCATCGCACGGGCACCGTACTAGTTATAAATAAACCTCGAGTTTGAGTCACTCAATGGCGGAAGTGGAAACTACTATTGATCTTATTTAAAAAGAGGAAGAAAAAAAATAATTATAAATTAAAGAGGAGGATAAACAATACTTAATAATTATAAATTAAAGATTCGGGGTCAAACAATGTAAAATTATTTTGTATAAGAAAATATAAAATTTACATTATTTTGTATAAGAGAATATAAAATTTGTATGTTTAATATTAAAAATACCTAAAATATTATATTAGTATTTGTAAGAGTAATCAAAATTTTCTATATTATTTTTGAAAGATGTGAAATCACCTACAACTTTTCTAAATAATTTTAGAAGGAACATATCTAAAAACATTTGAACTTAACATTACGTAAAAAAGATTTTTCTAGACTATTTTGTAATTTGTTCCTTGTTGGGGTCTTTGATTACCCCGTTGGGGTCTTGTAATTTGTTCCTTTTGCACTTTTGTGCTCTTTTATATTGTTGATATCAAGATTAAATATCTTGAGATAAATGATAGATTAAAGGTTGCATAAAGTCCAAACCACGAACCGGGTCTTTGACGATACAAAACGAGATAGCTGAAACCTCGGAAATATCACCTCGGTTCTCATACGACGTTCTGAGAAAAATAGTAGATCCCAAAGGTCGTCAGAATAAAATGTTAAAACTTCGAAATGGCCACCTCGGTTAAAGAGCAGCTTACCAGGAAGTCGTGGAAGATTGAAATTCTACCGAAATGCCGACGTCGCGAAATAACACCGACTTCAACCCGACAGAAGTGACGCTTGTCACACAGATAGAGGAGCGCCCATGCTCATCATTACCTAAAAAGTTTGCCTACGTCATTGCCGCCCCTAAACTGTCAAATCTTCATTAAAACGAAGCTAATTTGTCTTGGGATGTGTGCCAAGCATAACTATAAATAGCAACATTGAAGACGATACGAGGATTCGGCAAAAGTTAGAAAAACACACATATTTATCTCAGTTTTCTCTGTTACCGACTTGGTGTACACGAAAAAACCGACTTCCCAATTCTGTAACCGACTTTAAGATTTTCAATAAAAATCTCATTTTCTGCAATCTTTACCGTGATTTTTACCTTAATTACGTTGATTAAATCCGTTTATCAACATTTTGGCGCTAGAGGAAGGGGTCCATAAGATATTTGGAGTTAATTTTCGAGATAAATACACCACATCTAAAAAATCAAGAATGTTGCAATCCGTACAGGATAATCCGACAACCATGGGAAGCGCCGTTCGCGTTGTGGAAGCACCTACCGGTCAACATAATCCGGTGCCTCTGATGCCGGACATCGCCACGCTCATGCAGAACCCAGAATTTGCTCGGGGGCTCACTGCTTTGTTGGCCCAAACTATGCCAGGGCCATCACAAAGGATACCGGAACAATCTCTCGCCCCGATAACTTCGGCAAGACAACGAGTTCCCCCCATACAAAGGGGTAACAACAATCAAGCGGCGTCACATGCAACTTCACAACCACGCAACAACAATCTACCCCCCCTCCCCCCCCCCACCGGTGGGCAACGTACTTCCGGCAGAAATAAACCTGCCAGAGATGAATCAACCGGAGATGGTTGCCGAAAGTCATCCTGAACACGCTCCCAGGATTCCCCATGCAGTCCGTTAGTTGTTTCAACAACCCGAAAATCCGGCTGACCTGAGATTACAAATTGAGCGTAATCATTGCGCTCGACGTAACGTTTCCGAAGTAGAGGCATTAAGAAGGAAAGTGGCAGAGTTGGAAGCCCGACAAATCACCCAAATCAGGCTTTATCTGCATCCCCACGTGTCAGAACCGAGCAATGTCTATGTGGAAGTCGGTTCTCCTCTGGCACCCGAGTTGACCAGGGCCCCATTGCCGGGAAAAGTCAAAGTCCCACAAATCGGTCTCTACGATGGAAACGCTGATCTCGACGCTCACCTCGGACATTATACGTCATGGATGGACTTGCATGGCGTTGACGACGCTCTACGATGCCGTATGTTCTCTTTGACCTTAGGTCCTAAAGCTCAGAAGTGGTATTATTCATTACCAGCCGAATCGATCCGATATTGGTGTCAACTTAGATCGACTTTCAGGTCCCATTTCATCGGGGCTCAAGTGAGCTTAATACCGAAGGAGTCAATTACAAATATAGTCCAGAAGGAAGATGAAAGTTTGAAAGATTACATTGCGCGTTTTAATGAACGCGTACAAAATATAAAACCTTGTCATCCTGAGACGCTCCTTGTCTCGGCAATATCGGGTCTGAAGCCAAGATCCATGTTTCGCTGGGCACTATGTCAAAACAAACCAAGCACTTTTCAAGAATTCCTCATTCGCGCTCAACAACATGTCATCGCCGAGGAGTCCATGTCGGTTCCTAACCTCGAGTTCTCATCATCAAAAGGACAGAAACCGACTTCCGAAAACAAGAAAAAGAAGCATCTCGGTAACCCGCCCAAGAATCTATCCTTCAGAGAACCATATAAGAGTGAACCAAACGACACCGACGTGAAAGCTGCTAGAAGACAATACAAGGAGGATTTGACCACAGGGTACCGATCGATTTATTCGGTCGGTGCCGCAACTGTTTATCAAGAGATTAAAGGAAAAGGGATAATTCCTGAAGCCCGACCAGTAAAGACTCCTGAAAGTCAGCTGGACAAATCACGGTATTGTGATTACCACCGATCCCCAGGTCACAACACCGATGAATGCCTAAATTTGTTGTCGGCCCTCATGAAGCTGATTGGAAATCCACAGGTGAGAAGATTTACCAAACATGAAGGTAAAGAAAGGCGACAAATAGCTCACATTCCAGACCGAGATGAAGAAGACGAAGAAGCAATGAACACAAAAAGAATTCGTCTACAACAAGGAGAAAAGGAGATCTTCATGCTCAGGCCAAACGAGTCCAAGTCGGCCGAAGACCGACTTGGGAAGAGAAACAGGAAACTCGAAAGTTCCAATGCTGACCACACTCCTCAAATTCCAGTTCGGTTAGGTTCTGTTCCCCGAGTTAATACTAACCGAGAAGAGTTAACATTCTCACGTCGGCAAGCCAAAGCATATGCTAGAAAAGCATATAACTCGGGAAAACAAGTAATGACAACCGATCTGAGGGAAACGATTAACTCGCGCACTTGTCTGATCACCTTCACATTAGAAGATGCAAGCTTGTTTGATCATCCTCATTCCGATGCATTAATCATAACTGCCCCAATCTGCGGAATTCCCGTTCATCGTATAATGGTGGATACAGGCGCATATTCAAGTATCCTTATGCTTCACGCCTTTAGGAAGCTCGGACTTGACTCAGCCGACGTGCGTCCATGCAACGATAAGATCCACGGATTCAACGGGAGCGTGTCTCTTCCATTAGGGGAAATCACCCTTCCCATCAGGTTCGGAGGTCATGGGCAAACTTCCAAGGTCATCATGAAAAACTTCAAAATCATGGACATCAATTACGAATATAATGCCATCATTGGAAGGACAGCCCTATACAAGTTACGAGCAGCAGTGTCCATTTTTCATTATGCAATCAAATTCCCAACCGCTGATGGCGAGGGAACTCATTATGGC